GTCTTAATCTACCTGCATAAAATCTCTAGTCTGCCTTTAGACTGTATGAAGGACAATATTTTAAAATAAATTTTTTAATTTGACTTGTCATGAATTTTAAAAATTGTTCAAAACAGATATTTTTTTAACATTTTAAAGCCATGTTTTGTTTTTTAAGATCCTGCCTCCGGGAATGCTTTTCTTTTACGCATACATTAACAATACCTGGTTGTGTAAAATTCTAACAAACTTAATTTTATGTCTACGGCAATGACAATAACTCAGCGGAAGTGGAAACATAAGGACATGGGGATCGCACATGTATGATGGGAATGTCATGGAGGTTGAACCAGAGAGAGAGAAGGAGGGGGAGTATAGGGAAAAACAACAAAACCTTAACTTCCCACTTGGAGTGAGCTTTGCCAATAAGGATGGTAAGTAGTTGGCATTTGTAGCAATCATATTATTGAGATTGAACTGTGTGTCCGCAAGGGGGGAATGAGGGGCAATGGCATGTAGTAATGGTTTGGGGGGAGGGGGTCTAACAAACTGGATGTTGGAGCAAATTTTTTGCTTAAATGGTATGATTGAAAAGCTATTGCTATTGCATGAAAGCTGACCACCAAACCTAATGTAATGGGGTAACATTGTTATTGATGAGGAAGTGAGAGAGAGAGAGAGAGCCAGATGGGAGATGGGAAGATGGGAGCCTTCGGTTTCGATGATTGACGTGCCTTTTATTGATGGTCTTGATTGGTTTTTTACCTGTACGCAGACAAATAGACAGAAAGACAGACAGCCAGAAAAGAGGCTGACACGTATCGGGCATCACCAGTAAACTTCAGTGTAAAGTTTTCAAAAGGACAAACGCACCATTGTTGCTGATGTTCTGATGAGTTTGATTTGACTCCATTCCCTGCGAAACATTGCTAAAAAATTGTCCAAGTGGTCATCATCGTACCATTGAAGTAGGAGGAGAAGGAGGAGGAGGCAGGTTTTGAATAGCCATTGAGCCGTTAGTTCAATATGTGTAAAATATTATTGTAAGAGTATGTGAACGACAACAACAACAATTTAAAGTTATCAAACAGTTGAAGAAAAAGAGAGGAAAAAAATATTATAAATCAGTTATGATTTCATTAGAATGGCCACGATACAAAAAGAAAGGGAACCATCAAACCTGGGCTGAGGTGAGGTGAGGGGTGGTGGTATGGCAGTGATGTTTGGATTTGATGTTTGTGTTTTTAATCAAACATCATAGCCAGTTTGATGTCCTTTCCTTTGTCAACCTACCTACCTCCCTCCCTCCCTCTCTTCCCTCTCTCAATGCTGTAAAATCAATGGTGCGTGTCTCGTTTATGTTTCTGTTCTGAAGAAGCAGCAAAAACAAATGGACGTCTGTTGGCAAAACAAACTAATCAAATGTCTGCCATCACCGCCATCATCATCATCAACGTAATATTTAAACTAACATTTGTTACCATTTCCGTTTCCTGTCCACCCATACACATACACCTAGGCTACCGCTACTTGACTTTTAAAACGTTAATCAAACATTGTCTTGGTATTTTTTTTTCATTATTTGTTTGCCGTATTGTTTGCATTATCATAACGCTTGAGACAACAACAAAACACAATAGCAACAACAACAATTTTTGTTGAAGTATCACCTTTTTTACTTCCCTGGCAAATATAAACAAAATCATCGATAACATTTAACAACATAAATATAGCTTGGTGGCCGCCCCTGCCCGAGTCCGGTGAGTCAATTAGAAAGTTTTATTACCACTTTCTCCATACCCTGCCAAAAAAGAAAAAAACTAACGCCAATCACCATATCAACCTTCAATGATCAGCCATATCATTCATCGTCGTCGTCATCATCAACATCATCTTTATCAGCCGTCCAAGGTATTCGTCAGGCTTCACTGACTTATTTCATCCATTGCGTCCGCACGCGTTAATACCTTAATCCTTTGGCTCGATGAGCGGGCTTGGCTTGGTAGATATCATGTGTATTTTTTCCTCCTCCGAACCCCATTTGAAAACAAGTATTGCCGAAAACCCATCACACGCACACACACACACACACATTGATATAAAAATAAAAAGGAAAGCAAGTTTTTAGGGTATTAAATCGATGAAGTATTAACGACTTAATTGCATGTTTGTTAGGCATTTTGCAATAACATTCACAAAAATTCTACAAATTTTGGTTGTTTGTTTGGCATTTCGTTCTCATCCTCTTCGATAACAAAAACAACAAGAGGCTATTTACACTCTCCGGTAAGTCTTTTAAATTCTCATTGTTTTGGAAGTTCATTAGTAGAAGCTTATCAAATATTGTTTTTCAACATTGGTGAATTTTTTTACAGGGAGGAATGCTGAGAAATTTGAAGCGGAACTCCAGGAGATTGGGAAAGTATAGTAGCCAGAGAATCTCTCAACGGTCTCAGTAAAATCATGGATATTAAGGCCTATATAACATTTGCTTCTGCTGGGCGTATAATTATCAACAAGACTCATACGCCCTACCATGAAAAAACCCTACAATGTGAGACAATTATTCGTTGATATCATGATAAAATTCTCTTTTACTCTCATCATTAACTTTTTGCAAATTTGTACACACTTCTTATTTATATAACCTGTGAGAAAACTTCTCGAGAGGGAGATATTTTCTCCATAAATTATCTGTGACATTTAATGTAGAATGTACAGGGTGAGATAAAAAAACTGCAACAAACTTCAGACTGCTGTCATTTCTACACAACTCCTCCGACAGCGGTTAAAATTATTTCAGTGGCAGGTCATTATATAGTTTACAAGCGTACAAAAGCATTTTGGTCAGAATTTTCCAGAAAAAATAGTAATTCGCGATGGAATTCAAGCGAGATAGTGTGATTTCTTTATATTTGGCTGGAAAACCACAAGTGGCTATCGTTAGAGCACTCCAGCATTTAAATGTGAATAAATGCTTTGTGTTTCGTACCATCGCTCTTTATCGAGATACTGGTAGCGTAGCCCGACGTCAAGGAAGTGGACGCGCAAAAAAATAGCCACATCAGCAGAAAAGTAAAGCAGCGACTTGATCGAAAATCCGCGTCGCAGTGGCCGAAAAACGGCTCGTGAGCTGAACATATCGCAATATTCCATTCGGCAAATATTGAAAAATGAGCTCGGGATAAAGCCATTGAAATTCCAAAAAGTGCAAGAACTTACACCGCAACAGAAAGAAAATAGACTCAAAAGAGCTAAAGAGTTGCTTTGTGGTGGCCGAAAGTGGTGAACTGCCGAATTTGGTTTTCTCTGATGAATTGAAAATTTGCACCTTCCATTGGACACCAGAACTCAAGCGCCGGCCATGGTGATGGTGTGGGCCACCATAACAGACGATGGTCACTCTCAGCTCATATTAATCGACCGTGGCATCAGAATAAATGCCGAATATTATCGCGAAAATATTCTGGAGGGTGTATTAAAGCCTTGGGCACGCAAACATTATGGCGGCAGACCTTGGACATTCCAACAGCACCCAGCACCATCCCACTCAACACGCGCCACCCAAGAATGCTAACAAAATGAGGTTATTCGCTTCATTTCCAGCGCACAATGGCCACCAAAATCTCCGGATACCAAACCTTTGGACTATTATCTCTGGAGTATTTTGGAAAGCAAAGTTGGCACTATAAAAAAATACCAAAGTGGCGATCACCTCAAGCAAGCGCTTCGCCGGGAATGGGCCAAAATACCGTTGAGCAACATTCGGGCAACGTGTGACGGTTTCCTTGGCCGTTTGAAGGCCATAATTCGTGCCAAAGCTGACCAATTCGAACAAATATAAACTTATTCTAGAAGTTGATGCTATTTCCGACATTTTTTGCTCTCATTCAATAGAATTTAAAAAAAAATGTAAAAATTATGTAGTTTGACTTTGTTGCAGTTCTTTTCATCTTATCCTGCAGACTACATCCTCCCTAAATGCCAGGAATTCATATACATTCAAATATATTTGGCGTCTAGCTGTCATATAGACTTTGACGTCCTCGAGCACCTATATTAACATTTTATGACAAACAGTATTTTAAAATATTTGGAGGAAGTTTTTAAAATATTTGAAAGAAGGGCCAAAAAGACCCCTTTTGTTGACTCGCTTGTTGGTTAATATTTTTGACCAAAACAATCCTCGTATGTTTATCTGCTATATTGCCGAAGACACTATATACCTAAAATCAACGGATTTCATGGTATCTTGAAAGGAAATTTTTAAAAATTTTGAAGAGGGGGGAATTTGCGTCCTCCTTTTTGGGTTAATTTGCGATGTAAACTTTCAAAACGCCGATACAGGTGTCTTATATTTTTAGCTCTACTTTTACAATCTTCAGGATTTTCCCAAAAATTATTGAAAAAATTGAATTTTGTCGCACAGTGTAAATAAATTAATTGATTGAAATGAGTGATATTAACAAACGGCTTTAAACAGCATCTATATATGTTTAAGTAAGGAAATAACGGTAATGTATAAGTAACGTCAATAATCATACTCTTCAGTATATACTGCGGTTGGGGTGTGGTGGCCCGACTGCCTCCCGAATGGCTTTATATATTGAAAATTTTTATATATTGAAAATTTATATGGGAAATTAAATTTTGTGCTAGTGGGGCACCCGAAACGGTTCCAGAATGGATTTCTGTGTTCGTCCTTACCAAGGGAGAGGAAGACTTGTTTTATTAATTGGGGCTACTAAAAAATTGCTTTAAACACCATCTATACATGAATAAGTAAGGAAAAAATATGATTTTCTGATACCGTATAAGTAACGTCAATAATCATATTCTCCATGAGTCAGAGACGTACTCGGCATGGGGTGTTGAAGCCCGGGATCCCTCCTTGTTTTGTATTTTTTTTTTTTGTTTTTCATTTTGCATAAAAAACAATTTTTGCTAGCCAGATACCCCAAAAAAAATTCAAAATGCATTAATGGGTGCTAAGCAATAAGAAAACTTATTTTATTAATTACCTTAAATTTTACCGATTGTCTTTAATAATTCAGAAACTTCGTGCATTTACAACTGTGTATTTACCTGCAAAGAAACAGAAAGAGAGAACAAAATTAGTTTGTATTGAATTAATCAAGATTAATGTGTGTGCACACATATGACTCATTTCACAAGCAGCTACCTAAAGCAAAAACAAAATGTGATGCATAAAACAAAACGAAGAAAACAGAATCTGCTGTTTTTTTTAAGAAAAACTATTTCCACCCTTGCCCTACCTACCGAATCGCCAGTCGATATCGCACAGGACATTTTTGCACATAAAACGCACACGCACCATTCTTCACTTCTACTGTTATGGACTGTTAAGACTAGCCGCTGGCTGTTCTTACAGTAACAACACCACTGCCATCAATAACACACAGGCAGCAGCAGCAACAAAAACAACAACAACAATACCACCAACAAGTCTTTTATAAGTCCTATAGCCCCATAACTTACACCACCAGCGCGCACCTCAACAATACTGCCCCTGGGGACAATTTATGTACAAATAAGTGTAGACAGTGTCGCTGCATTGCTGCTATGCCGGCTGCGGTTGCTGGCGACGACGCTGCTCGCATGACCATTATGTATAACCAAAATACAACGCACTCACGCATACATAGACACACACAGAGGCAGCCAAAGGAAATAAGGAAATTCAAACGTAAAGAAAGTTATTTCTGTCTCTCTCACTCTCCCATTCGGAGTATTTTTCCTTTGCCCAATTTGTCTTGGCAAACGCACTTTTCAAAACAAAACAACAAAACGAAACGAAAAACGCACAATTCACATTCCACGAAAATTCTCCTTTGAAAAGCTACAGCATACTTTTGGGAGGGAGGAGGCCATGTATATAGCAAAGTGTATTCTTAAAAAACATAGCATACTTTTCAAAGTTCTTATTTACACACGAATCATTCGCAGGATATGTTTTTGGGGGGAGATTTTCTTACGCATTATGGCCGGTCATTTTTCCATGGCCCCGGCTTTCCTTCTCCATTCTGCTTTGTTTTGGACTAACATTATTCGGTTGTGTGCGTGTGCATGAGAGAGCTTTGCACTTAGTTGCAGGAGGAATATTTGGAAAATTTCGTATAGAAAAATCTAGGTTAAATGTGGTGCGGGGCGATTTCGGTTTCGATGCGTCTGTGTGCGTAAAATGAAATGAAATTCAAAAGGTAGTGGCATAAAATATATGCTTTTCCTTCTGACATGGACAGGGGGTTGTTATCCACCCATAAATATCGAAAAAAGGAAATGAAAAATGTACAAATTGAATTTGGGTTTAGTTGGTGGGGGGTGGAAGGGGAAGTATAGATTGGAAAGCATTTAGGTTGTTTGCAGAATGCATTAATTAGGCAGGGCAATGAGAAGGAGGAGAATTTTTGGTGTACCAAATTTTCAAGATGAAATATTTGGTGGGCAATGATTGCGTGTGGAAACCAAAGGGGAGGGAGATGAATCTGGGGAGACTCTGAATTTTAGGCCAATCCAGGAATTGTGTTATTATATTTTTGAGGGGTTATTGGGATGTTTTTTGGGGGATTTTTTGCAGTGTCATCGAAGGAGCTATCACAGCTAAAATATTTGGAAGGACTATCAAAGCCAGCTGTATGTAAACCAACAGGGTGAGATGAAAAAACCAACCAACCAACTTCAGACAACTGCCATTTCTAAGCCTATCGTCCGACAGCTGTTAAAATTATTCCAGTGACAGCTCATTATATTGTTTACAAGCGTACAAAAGGATTTGGGTGAAAATTTTCCAGAAAAAAAAAACTTATTCGTGATGGAATTCAAGCGTGATAGAGTGATTTTTTTATATTTGGCCGGAAATCCAAAATTTAAATGTGAATAAATCTTTTGTGTCTCGTACCATCGCTCGTTACCGTGACGTCAAGGACGTGGATGGAAGAACACAGCAACATCAGCAGAAATGGTTCGAAAAGTAAAGAAGCGACTTGATCGAAACCCGCGACGCGGTGGCCGAAAAATGGCTCATGAACTCGGGGTACAGCCATTGAAATTCCAAAAAGTGCAAGAACTTACACCGCAACAGAAAGAAAATAGACTCAAAAGAGCTAAAGAGTTGCTTTGCTTGGTCGATAATGCCGAACTGCCGAATTTGCTTTTCTCCGTCACCGATGAGAAAACATTCGTTATCCAGCAGTTTGTAAACCAACAAAATGATCGTGTTTACTTGCCGAAGAGGTCAGTGGAATATGTGCACCTTCGGTTGGCCACGAGAACTCAAGCGCCGCCAATGGTGATGGTGTGGGCCGCCATAGCAGTCGATGGCCGCTCTGCGCTCGTATTAATCGACAGTGACATAAGAATAAATGCCGAATATTATCGCGAAAATATTCTGGAGGAGCAAACATTTTGGGACATTCCAACAGGACTCAGCGCCATTGCACTCAGCACGCGCCACCCAAGAATGGTTACAAAATGTGGTTTCTCGCTTCATTTCCAGCGCACAATGGCCACCAAAATCTCCAGATACCAATCCGTTGAACTATTGTGACTGGAGTATTTTGAAAAGCAAGGTTGGCACTATAAAAAAATACCAAAGTGGCGATCAGCTCAAGCAAGCGTTTCGCCGGGAATGGGCCAAAATAACGCAGAGCAACATTCGGGCAGCGTGTGACGGTTTCATTGGCCGTTTGAAGGCCATAATTCGTGCCAAAGGGGACCAATTCGAACAAATCTAAACTTATTCTAAAATTTAATGCTATTTCCGACATTTTTGCTTTCATTCAATAAAATTAAAAAAAAAATGTAAAAATTATGGCATTTGACTTTGTTGCAGTTTTTTATATAGATTATACTTATAATATAAGTATATAAAAATTTATGCTATACTATTAAACATCTCTATTCAGTTTCTGGTGAAACGTCTAAAAATATGCTTTAAAAATGTCAAAGATAAATGTTAAGTACCAATATTAACAAAAAAATTAAATCAAATTTTCAACAATCTTAAGAATATCAAAATATAAAAAAAAGTATTGAATGAGTATATTTACCAAAACTTTCCCCCGGCTTCTTTGAATAATCTTCCAAAAAAACTATGTAATCCGTGCTCTTGAATGACCGAATTTCTAATGGATATAAAAAAACTGTCTATCCATTCGATGTCCGATCTCCAGCAATTGGAGTTTCCCATTTCTCAACCCCGTTTTAAACTTTCCCTTTACCTTCCAAAAATAAAAGATAATTTCAATTTAAATAATTTGTCACAACACACATCTATCATCCGAAACAAGAACTAGTTTCTTGCCTCCATTGTTGCAAAAGTTAGGGGTGGAATGCACAATTTTTAAAGAAACCCGTTTTTTGGGGTATCCCAAAAAAACAAAGCAAATCGAGACATTGGTCGTTGATTAAAAAAATCTCCGACTGTGATATTGTTACCGATGTGGTTGTAACAATCCCATGCATTGTCGTTGTCGTCCCTTTTGATGTGATGGATTTATGTAAAGATTTTTTAATTAGCCTAAAAGTCATATGAGTGGATGCAGTTACAGAAAGGCGCTACTCATTCCGAAACCCCATTCTTCAGTGGTGCTTTGTGTTGTGTTTGTTGATTGAAAAATAGATTAAAAGGACCAGAAAACCGCCACTACTGCAGCATAAGCAAAGACGCTTAAGGCAATGTCAACTTGGTAAGGCCTATTTGTGCAACCCTGAACACAGAGAGATTGGACAGAGAAAAGCATGTCAAATCTCAAACCCGATGCTTAATTCCTACTGCTGTCCATCATCCACTATGAATCACAGGCAACACCTTTCTAATATCCTGTTACATGGTGCATGTTTTCATTGTGGAAAACTGCACGAACCGCTAACGCACACACACAGACAAAGGAATTACGTGCGCATGCAGCACGTGTGACAAAATTATGAATGTACAACAAAAATTCACGGATGCCACTCCACACCACATCGCTGATTAGATGCATCATGCCAAACGCAACAACAACCCTTAAATGAAACCAAATTGCAACAATGTTGTTTTTGTAAACGGATTTCTGTTTTCTTTGCTTTTCAGATATCTCATGGGTATCCAACACAATAATTTAGACCCTTTTCATGCTGCCCGAATTCGAAGGAGGGTGAGTTTATGCTGAGTAACACAAGTGTCCTTCTCTAAATCCTAAACTTAATTAAGGGGTTGCGCCTTGCAACATTTGTGCCTTTATCCAAACGGGTGAAATTACACGAAATGCATTGTGGTGCAAGGAAACCCAAGTGCTTTTCCGATTTTTTTTCGAGTATTTGAACAGCTTGAATGCTGTTATTTGTTTTTTTGAATAGTTTTTTTTTTTTTTTTTTTTTTTTTTTGTAAAAAAATAACTTTAGCAGAAGGTCATATTTTGGAAATATCGAAAACACGCAAAAAATATTATCATTGATTGTATTCTATCGACCCAGGTACATAGGTTAGGCCCAAAGTAGAACCAAAACTCTTTAGGTGTGAAATATCCAGATTTGAATGTAAAATAATGTAAAAATTTTCACTACGACAACCGATTTTCCCTTTATGAAAATTCAGGTTCTGGAACAGAGCAATATATTGTAAAACTGAACAAATTGTGAATTTTGAGTACTTAAAAGGCCCAACACAACTGTTGGAACAAACCTGAAATTTTTAGGTGGATTTTTCTATGACGAAGTAGCCGGTACTTGCTAGTTGTATATAAAATTTATTCTTTTGAGCATTATTTCTCCTTTACTATTTCGGTTTTTGTGTAATTTCAATTTAAAAGTAATTTTTTTTTAAATTATATTACTTTAAATTTTATTCGAATTTAATTTCATAATTTTTTTTTATTTTTTTTTAGGTTTATTTTTGATTTTACACTTTAATTTTTATTTATTCATCTTATTTTATAACTTACATTTTTATTCATAAATTCTAAGAATTTTTAATTAAAACTTTTTTAGATTTTTTTCTATCATTAGTTGTTTAGTTAAATTTTGTATTCTATTTATTTAATTGTTTTATTACAAATTTATTTATTTAATGTTTTTTTCCGATT